CAGTGTCCATTATCATACTTTTATATCGATAGCTATGAATAGAGGTCATATATTTACAAACTACATGTTCCATGTTCTCTGGTTCCATCTACTGTGAGTGGCATAATAATATTTATTATAGTTCGAAATTTACAACTCAGGATTAAGGTATTTTATACAAAGCAACAGGGAAGTTCATTGTTTTCAATAAGCAATTGCTGGTTCATGAGGATAATTATTTAGGCCGATACAAGTATTCTAAATAGCATATCTTTTCCTCATGCTATACAAAGTAAATAGGCCAAGTAACACAAATTTTCTAGCTTACATAAAGTGATGTGACTACAGTTTACTCATGTAAAATTCAACATGCTGAAGCGATTAGGCCCCAATGTTCAAAAGTAAAAAAGGTTAAAGTAAAACTCCAATACCTGAATCTTGCTCCTAACTAACTAACTAAATTCTTATTATGTTTTTTTTCAAATAGCCTCTGTTATTCTGCAAGAGCTGCACCAGCAACCACTGGAAAAATGGATAAACCATACTGCTTTGAGTTATTTAACCAATACATTTAAATTATTACGTGTTTACTATCACGGATATGTGTTGTCGGATGTGGGTCAATGTTAAATTTAATTTAATTAATTTAAGGCTCAAAACCCCGAGCGTTGAGAAGAACAAACCTGTGTGTCGCACAAGTTCAATCAAGGAATGTACATTTATGGCGAGACATAGTTTGACCAAAGTACCAGACACAGGCATTTATACAATCACAACCACGAAAGTTCACTTGCAAACTGTTGGATTCTGAAGGTGGCTGTGTAAGTTCTAATAGGAAAGCAGTTCACTTGACGAAAATCACAAAAGTAGTATGCACTACACCTTTATTGGCCATGCAAGGGAAAATAGATCAATTCAAGTGAATCATCAAATGATCTTCGGAACACGGAAACGTTTGGGGGGGGGGGCAGATTTATTAAGTGGAAAAAGAAACAGACTGTACAAGTCCATTGCTACAGCAACCACGTCCCAAGGGTAGATGACATGCAAGGACCAGTCTCCACAAGGTTGATGGCAACCACCTCAGTGAACCTAAGAAAACTTGAACTTTTAAGTTGAATTTCACAGGGTAAAGTTTAAGCTTGCCAAAGCTGTATTCTGTATGTGCTTGTCAGGCCGTTTCACTGGATCAAATTTTAACTTCTCACAGAACGACGTTTGTTATTTATAATAACACATTCAGTTTGATAACCGTAATTTAGTTCTTGCGTGGGACCGTGGATTGCAAATGAATTGAAAAGGATAAATGAAACTGGAAGTGACTAATTCATTGGATTTAAGTTTATCTGTGTCCCGGAGTTGATTGTCCTGCAAACCGTAAACCGCTTCGCGGAATCATGGGTGGAATCGGCCTATTGTTGCAATGGCGTCATTTCATCGAAATTGTAAACTAACGAAACGGTTTCCTGATATACCCCACTAGTCATTTAATCCCGAAATTGGTAGGTTCCCTAAGTCTGCGTATAACTGACAAGTGATGGTCAGTGGAATATTAACTGCTGGCCAATTCTATTGAAGCATTTTCTAGCAATGCAAATCTGTAATGTGTAGAATACGGTCCTTTTCAATGCAATTTCTGAATTATGGGACAAAAACATTGTAAGTGTTAGGGTTCTTATATGCTTGTGGTACATCTTCGACTGAGATGTGTCATCGCTACTTCGATACAATAACAACGGTATCATAACATAAATTAACAGTGAACTTGATAGATCACGGTATCCCATTTTTTACCAGACCTTTGGCATATGTTTCGTTCATATCAATGCCTAGTAATTTATCGGTAAAATGATGACACTGTATTGAAAATTTGAGCACGCTTTCAGTTGTATCCTACTTTTCTGGCAAACAAAATACCCCTGGCGTTGGTGCAATTGAACAATCACGATTGATTTTTAAATTCCACTCAATTCCGAATCTCGCACTATTGGTTCTCTCAACGTGAAACAATTTTCATGACCACCAAGTAATCTATGACGTTCCACCTTCCACACCACAATTCTATTCGTAAATACTATTCCTTTTGTAAAAAGCCAATCTACTTAAGTTGCATCGACAGCTGAAGGAGAGAACGCTAAATTGATCGCGCACATTAATCCTGCACCGACTGTGTTACCTGTTTTGTTCAAAGTGATCAAATAGAAGGTATTGGATGGTAGAACTGGCCAAAGGTATGACAGATATTGGTTCATGAAATACATCTGTTTTGATGTATTTCTCCCATCATTGCGGGTTGTCATTCTTGTGTATCAGCTATCTCCTCTTGTGCGGTGTGATTATTCACTAACTACATCATACTGTGATGCAATTTCTTACTATCTTCGTATCTCTGTTAGGCAAACTATATTTGATCCAAAATCGATAGTGAGCAATTTCAGCTTTGAAGCAAAACAAAATATGGATGCTTTTTCACATAAATTAGTGTAATTTGTCATTTACAATTCAATTTGTGGTTCGGATCCGTCAGTTATGTTGTCCTGTTGGCTGTTGTAGTTAATTTTACTATTTCAATAAGCTTGTTCACAAAAAGAAATTTGTACAATATTTTGAATTGAAATGAGGATACCTGAAATTCATCTGAATTTGATGATGAGAAGAGTGGTCTTTTAGAAAGTGTGCTATGGAGGCACAACAGTTTGCACCGATCGTTTATTTGCTTAGAAGTTGAAAGAAAACGGGGAAATGCGTATTCAATTTCTAACTTTATTTGGTTTTCACAATTCATAAGTTTGCTGAATGAACGAAATGCATCCTGCGAAGTCAAACTCCAATACGACATACATCAACATGTTAATGAAGCACTGAAAGAATAACATTCTGGGTTAATTTAAGTTGCATAACCAAATGAATTTGACATTTACAAGAAACCATATGGGTTATATTTGAAAAAGAACAGCATATCCGGTTGTTACGTCGACAAGTGATCGGTATTCATTAATTCATGCACTGATTCATACTTGTACCAAGTGGCTGGGGTGGAATAGCGGCTATAAACCGGTGGATGAGTCCGTCCCGGCAAAATCGCAGCATGCATTGTTCACTGAGTGATTTTGAGAGTAGACGAACATGTTTCAGTGATTAATTCGGACGGATCACTGGAATAGATTCGAGATCAGACAGGCGGCACACATTGTTGGGTCGACTAGGCAGGAATGGCTAACAGGTTTATTGTTAGAAAGCTGGAAGCATCTTTTGTGATCAGTCATTTTAACTAACTGATCAGTATCTTCAGGGATTTGAATTTTGAAGGAACTCCGATATATCTCACGGCTGACTCACTTCTCGCGAAATCTCCACGTGGTAGCAAACATTGATTCACTCCGCCTTGACAGTTACTGTCAAAAGCCTCTAACGTCAAGCAGTCATGTGAGATGGTTTTTGAGAATGGCGACTCAACACAATCGGTAAAAGCTGACCGTGTTCTAAATATGGCTATTATGGCTGACTATGTCACCTTTGTCTTTCGCTGGTACATTCAGAGTGTGTACGTGAATAACAACTTTACAACGCCCATTATTCGTGGACGAACAGCTGGTCGTCCATCTGTATACGGTTTTTGGGATGAATAGAGAACTCTGTTGCCAATGCCCGGATTTGCATCATGGTCACTTGTCGTCTTAGGTATGTACAACCGAATTGATGATGGAGAATATTTTTTAACGATAGATGCATTCGTTTAGATGAATACAGAAAAGTGTTGTCAACCAGCGTCTCCTTTTTGCTTTTCCGTCATTAGTGAACAATTACATTATATAACTTCGTCTAACCTTCTAACGTAGCACCGTTTTGTTTTTCCTGAGCGAAGTATGATTATCGTTTGTCCCTGTTAGTTGTACACGCTTCTTGTACCATAGTGGTGTTGTTTGCATCCGGGAATAAACGGCATAACCCAAACAAACGGGTGATCTTAGCAGCATGAGTCATTTACTCAGATGTAGAACGATTGACACATACAGCAGGAAATTACAACAAAGTACAACATATTTTTACCATCCTCCTCCTCGTGAAATGCGTACGTCCTTTGTGTATTTGTACAGCTTTTGAGTTACTTATATCGAATGGATTCCACTAAACCGTCAGTGCAAGGCCATTTGATTTCGAGGAAAATTTTTCACCTCTTGGGATATTTGCTCGTTGTCACTA